GAGGCACAAATCCAGTTTCTGTTTGGGATTTTTGTGGATTAACCAGCACATTTGCCTCCGTGTGATAACGTCCTATGTTAGTTTTGAAAGGGAAGAAAGAGGGTTTTAGGGTCTCATATCAAAATGTGGGCCAGCACTTGGTGGCAAAGAAAAGGATTGCCAGACCTAGGAAGTAGAAAGGTTCAATAAGTATTGTGTTGGAGCAAGTATTTTAGTACTTCTGTTAGTTGATTAATTGTGTAAGGCTTACACTGAGTGCATGACATAGAATATTTAGGCTATCACAGTGGGAAATACGATTCAAGCAATTCCCACTGTTTGGCTTACTTTTAACTGCTGGAATGCAGCGAGGCTGGGAGATGGAACTGCTGGCACACCACTTCTGTCTTTTACATTTATTTGGTTTGTTAGTGTTAATGATAGTGCTGAAAGCATTCATGGTGCTGAGAATTGAGAGAGAGAGAGAGATGTGGAACGTGGCTGGGAGCTGAAAAGTTCAGAAGAAATATGCTGGGGGAGGTTATTTCTATGTAGAAATATTGAAAGAAATTGCTCAGGTCAGCAGGTATGTAAATACAAATCCATACGCTTCAGTGAGATGTGGAACATGTATTGAGTATCAGGGGGAAATGTTACAGTCTTACTCAGAATAAACAATTATTTAATAAACAATACTGAAAGAGACTTGGAATCAAGTGACCTAGAGGTGGCAAGGAATGAAGTTGCTGGTCAGATGTAAAACTGAAACTTTGGAGCAGAAAGGTGAAGCCTGGGATGTGGGCTAGACAACTACAGCAGGGGTAGGCAACCCAAGCCCCAGGGGCCGGATGCAGCCCCCCGAGGCCTTTGGACTGGCCCCAGGCCGGTCCTGCCACCACCGCCACCTGCCATGATGATATTGATTATTGTTATTATTACTTGTTCTTGGGGTTTTCTTGGCAAAATCTCCACAGGGGTTTTGCCATGGCTTTTCTGGGGCTGAGAGAATATGCATGCATATTTGTTTTAAATTTTTAATTTTTTTTTAATTTTAAATATTTATTTATTTATTTATTTATGGTACTTTGGCCCCCCAATTGTCTGAGGGACAGCAAACTGGCCCCCGGCTCAAAAAGGTTGCCTACCCTTGAACTACAGCATACTTCCGAATATGAATATGTACATCAGTTGATTTCATAGATGCAGTGAAAAACAACTGTCCAGGGATCTTTGTTCAAGCAAGTATTTTTAGGGGTGTTGCTAAATGCTAAGAGAAATCTTTCTAGAGTGATAGGAGATAGTCTGCTGTTGGAGATCAAGCATTTGTATGTCCTCAAACCACTGAAAAACTTCAGCTCAAACTGCCCCAAAGCCTACAAGAAACCTGAAATGGTTTGCCCAAATTAACATGAAAACTGAAGTTGTGCATCTCTTTGTTGTATTTCCTCTCCACATCTAGATTTCTTTTTTCTCTTTCCAGAACATATATTTACAGATGTTCTTCATAGGTTAGGATGATTTTTTTTTGCTATATATAAAACCACAGTTTTCAATTGCTGTGAAATAATATGAGCAGAAAAATAAAATAATGAATGAACCTTCCTGTTAAAATTAATAGATTTTGCTCAGTATAATTTTGTTTTTTGTTTGTAATGATTTAGCTGCAAATCTTGATGTCAGTTTTCATCAACTACACCTTAATCTTTATTATAGGCAGGTGTGATGATTGGGTTTGGAACAGTTTCTACACCAGACTTTGCTACGATGTGTTGCTTGGAATTTAAAGTGTATTATATGAGACACACACACACATCTTGCTGTATTCAGTTTTTCCAGAGAGATGGTACAGATGCATCCTGCTTTTAAAAAACAACACACACACAACAGTGATCATCTTCCCTTTCTATATGCCACCTCTATGTGGTAGAATTCAAAGATATAACTGTGTTAGTCTGTAGAATCAGTATGTAGAGAGATCTTGTAGCACTTTTGAGACTAACTGAAAGAAAAAAGTTGGCAGCATAATCTTTCCTAGACTTATGTCTACTTCCTCAGATGCATTCAGTGTGAGTGTGCTACCTTTCTCTCTGCTAGAGATGGTATTCCCACAACAGCCATCCCATGCTGCTTCAATAAATGTGGTTGGTTTTCTTTATCTGCCTGTTTTCCTTTTAATAAAAGAAAGGTAGAACTCACAAAACAGCAGCAGTAACCATGATGTAGCAACAGCTGCTGTGATGCACCAGCATCTTCTCAGAATCCTGTGCCCCCTACATCACAGGTGTGGTAGGGCTGTACATTTATGAGTCTAGAGGCAATTTTTATTTACTGTCAATAAACACAACAGCAGGGGTTCCCAAACTGGGAAATTTCAGGGTGTGTGACAAAAAATGGCTTATGTTCTTGAGTGATGAGTTGTGAGTCATCACTTAGCTCGCTGCCAGTGTGCTTTGGTAGTAAGTGGTTGTGTTGTGTAGAAAGTAGTATTGTTGTTTCTTTAATCAAGAGGAGAGAATAACAGAATTAATATATAAGTAAAGTAAATAAGTGTCAGAGTATTACTTTTAAAACCATTATAATGCAACATCTGACATAATCACTGTATATTGTTTCACTCATAAATTCATGATTATGACAGTTAAGTATTTCAGCCTGCGGGGCCTCTCGCCTCACCCATTGTTTCTGTTTACAGACACCATTCCTCCCTCTGTCTTGAATTCATTTGGCCAGTCGTGTACTTATCCCCTGTTTTGTCCAGTCAAACACCTCCCTTGTTGCCATTGATTTTCCCATATATAATGCAAAGGACTAAGGACCACAGTGGTGGTGGAGGAGATAGGAGGTGACATTTGTCCCAAGCATGCTCAACCTGCGGCTCAGGATGAGAGAGATGTAAATGTTAGCATGGTTACGCAGCGTGTGATGATCCATGTCACCAGGATCACGATCTTCACAAATGCAGGCAGTAGCGTGTCAGCTGGAGAAGCACCTCTCCGCTTCCAGACAGAGTAAAGAGCCTCTACAGACAGACATCTCTCAGATGAGGCTTTAATCTTAGTTCCTCTATGTACAAGACTATATACAGCAACAACGACAACCATCCAACCAACCTCCAACTCAACAACCACAACCCACATCAACCACTATCTACATGTGTGTCCAGAAGCATCTGCCTTATATAGCCAGGGCTCCATGTGGCCTTCTGGCCCTGCCTCTTCCTGTGGATGCTGTCACTCAACCTGAGTAACTCTGCAGTTTTGCAGCGCTTGTCTGTGCTTTCCAGCACCAGGTGACCATCTGCATGATGTCACTTTACATGAGTCAGCATGAGTCGGCATCAGTTAAATGCTGTGTCATCATGGCTGCTTGTGATGTTCTGCTTATTGTCACATTGTATATTTTCCTCTGGGACTCCTTCCTAACAATCCCCTCCAAAATGTACAAATGTGTGCACATCGCTTGGCTTATGTTTCTTGGAGTGTGTTTGCATGGACCTTCCTGTTTCCTTGTGCCATATCCCACCAGCCTGACATATGCCGATGTCCTCCCGCCAGTGCCCAGTGCTCTAGTCTCCTATCTGCCACACTGTCTACCAGACCCATGCGCCCCAGACTCAGAACCCCATTCTGCTTTCCCCAGCAGCACCTTTGTCAATATCAGCCCACTCTTGAAACCTATCCACTACTCCAGGCACTTCACTTTCCAGTGCTTCTGCACTCTGGCCCAGATCTTCTGCTACTCTGCACATGTCTTCGGGCTGTACCTACCATCCTCTTAGGACCTCGAGCCTTGAGCTTCCGCTGCTGCTCCTGGTGGCAAGCCCAACTACACTGACATTCTCTCATGTCTCTCTA